CATAATAGACATAACCTTTTTTCATTTCGTATGAAAAAGAACTTAACAACAGGATAACCAGAACAGAGCTAGAAGTTGTCCCACAAAGATTTGACAGTTGCATCAAGTGGCAAGGGAAGTAATAATTAAAAATATCACACACACCAAATGAATTACTTACTCAAGGACTTAGTAATATTACTATTAATTTCAATTATTATTTTATGCACTTTTTAAATAAATAGGCCTAATAAAAATGTATATATTTGGCATGGAATAGGCAGGAAACTCAAGGAACATTGTAAAGGAAACGCAATATCATGAATTGAAAAACATTAAGTAGTCTAACTTGTATTTTATGTTTATTACTGAAATTTGGGAATCTGCGTGACGTTTTAAAAGTATCTTGTTATGAGGGTCTACAGAGATAAGTCTATTTAGGTTTTGATGTTCCTCGACAAACTTCGGGTTGTTTATTGTACCATTATTGTAAATTTTGTATGAATTTATCATGCTTGTTTATTCTCCATTTAGCAAAACATTTGTTTTGATTTTTTTTTTTTTTTAGCTCACCTTCCAAACTTATAATCATGGTTTAATGCTAGTCAAAATATATCAATATTTTTCTTACAATTAAACACAACTCTACCCTTTTTACCTCTCTATATCCCTCTCAAAACCCAAAATGACTAAATTCAAGCTTTTCACAACAAAGTCAACTCACCATGCCTCTCTGAAACAGAAACAACCAGACTCACTAAGCTTCTCACAACGAAAAAACAAGACTCACTAGCCTCTGACAACCAAAAACAACACCACTCACCAGCCTCTCACAACCAAAAACAAGACTACTCACCAAGTCCCTCATAACAAAAAACAACAATATTTAACAACCCTCACACCCAAAAACAACAAGACTCATCAAACCTCTCATAACATTTCTATAATCTCATCATACACACTATAAAAAACAGTTTTATCTATGCGTAAATATTGCTTTTTATTCACTATTTGAACGCAAATACGAGTTGATATCTGCAACAATATCTCTTCGCTCCATAGACTGTAATACATCAATCAGGTCACTCAGCAGTGGTGGAGTCATTGACGTATAGACCCAATGATGTAACACCGCCAGTGTTTTATTCTTCTCGTCTTCAATATTCTCGACAAAATCCACAGTAAAATCGAGTTTTCCTTATTTATACAGAATGTAGAAATGTTGATAGTTAGTCGAAAAAGTACATACTTTTAAATTGCAATTTTAAATGGAAATTATGAACTATATGCTAAGCTTTTGCTTCCCTTTGTATATTCTAATGTATATAATTATACCAATAAATAAATAAATTCTACATACCCGCTAGACCGAGCCAGTTACTGCCAGTCGCGCTGTACTTATTTAGAGCATTGCAAACTAATGTTACTACCGCTTGTGGCCAGTCCCTGAACGTCAACTTTCTCGCATCCAAATAGGTGGTTACCTATATAAAAATCAATATTTCCTAATATAATTATAAGTGTACATCTATTAGAAATACTGCAGCTTGAGTTTTACATCTAGTCAATCATTTTGTGTTTATGTTAGAAGCATACTTGTATAAAACAACTCCTAATACGTTTGGGTTGTCGTTACCTTCTTTTTTACACAAAAGCCCCACTATAACTTACAATTATCGTATTTTTTTTTTGTTTTTGTTTTTTTTTTTTTTTTAATTACCT